TTTTTCTTGTCCTATTATATTATGGATCTTTCGTCCTCGTGGTCATGGGTGTTTGGTCCTCGTTACGTTGGATCTTCGTCCTCGTTTAGATGCTTGTTAAGCAGCAGAGATTACTACATGTTACTACATAGCCACACGTGTTGCGGCCTCGATTAGTCGCAGACGCTGCCGGATCCACGCTGCGCTGCCGATGTGGGCAAGCCGCCGGCTCCTTCGATACCTTCCCGCCCTAGCCAACTCTCAGCTCAGAAAACTGTTGTTTTTTTTTACCCCAGTTCATCATTTTAAATTAAGCAGAACATCTGGACAATTTTTCTAGTGATATTCGGCAGGAATTATTCATGTTAGAACAAGGACCTACTGTCTACTCGCTTCCAAAGTTTGGCTTGCGACGCACACGCAACGCCGGGCGTGTTTGTTGTCGAATTTCCAGCAGCAAATATCATCAATTCTTTCACAATCAAGAAGACTACTTCAGCAATCAGCTATATAATGAAAGCTATATAGTAAAAGACTTCATATGTCGTGTCAACAGGCGATTGGAGTAAAAAAACGATTGGTTTGTGCGGAAACATCAGTCCCTTTATGGCTGGTCTGAATGCTCTAGCTCCGCACTGTATACAAACAAACGCTGGAGAACAATCTTCTTTATATTCGGCAATTTTCGAGATTCTTCGGAAACCAATCACAGAGGCTCGGTTATAGTCGGTGCAGATCGTGTTTGTAACGAAGATGGACGAAACTGATTGGAGCCGCCCGACTAGACTAGTCGGCGCCAGCGGCGCCCGGCGGCAACTTCTTCAAAGGGAAACGCCTGTCAATCAAGTACATGTACGTGAAGCCACGCTGTGGGAAAAGTACGCGCCCCCCAAAATGTATCAATAGATTCAGTTTTATTTCTCAAACAAACAGTCACAATATCAAACTTAGCTACTTTTACTATAGAGTCCAAACTGTAGTGGTTTCATCGGCGAAGTACTCTTGTCGCAATTTCGTGCATTTGATTGAAGAAAATTGTTGATGCCGTGGCGTGCCGATGTAACACGTTACGTGTTCGACCGAGTTTGTTTACTGGCCGGGCGCAGGTCATTGACCTTCGGCTTGCGTTGTTCCGGCGGCTGAGTGGACTCGAAGAGCAAAATGTCTGGCAGTTTTAGCGTCCGATTTTGTTTGTATATCATTGAAAATAACGCTAATTTCCACCACTACATAACGAAATTCTTGTGAATAAATGTATAACTCAAAAAGTCTTTTGGGGAAATAAATATTCTTATCCGGATTTTTGGTGTATTTGGTGTTCTTTATTCATGATCGAATGGTGCCGAAGTCAGCGTACCCTGACGCTCATGAGCGATTCGCGATCGCCTAAATATCGCTGAAGAGAACATGTTCAGATCCTGGCGATTATATTTTAGATCGACTACGATAAAACTTCAGGGCTGTCCTCGGCAAAATCAGATGAAATTTCAGTGTCAAGCTTTGCAGGAAATTATCAAATGCCGCCGCTCGCTGACGCACGCACTCGCTCTGTGCGGGTCATTGACCTTCGATTTGCGTTGCTTCCGGAAAATGTCTGGCAGTTTTATCGTCGGACTTTTGCGCTTTTATCCAACAGACCGACCTCGTAGCAATCATTCACGGGCATCCTATGCAACTATCTTTCTTCCAACTAGTTCGGAGTTGTGTGCACTGTGTATGGGAACCGCATCAGTCTGAATAATCAATTCTCTTCTGTGATGGCGCTAAACAAACATCGTAGTCCGCAATGTAAACAAACATGGCGACTGGTCGGGTCGCCTCCACCGATCGCTAAATTATAATGATTTCTTGTTGCCGGGTTCCTGCGGCGATTTACACGCTATTTAATGGCAAAACACAGCAATTTGGGATGTTATCTCGTCTAAGCAGGGTGTATTCCGGTAGATTTTAGCCTCCTATATGTGTTTTCCGGTGTTTAAGGCCGCACAACACAGTATTTATGGGCGAACCCCGTAGTCAAAAGTAGTCCGGGCACAAAGTAGTGCTGCACAATACTAGAGAAGGGTGCAGAGATTGTTCTGAGCATGGTATCGAGATAGAACCTGTGGTAAATGTTAGAGGAATACGTCAGTTTTGAGACTGTAGAAGTTGACTTATGGTGCGTGTTCAGTCGGCGTAGATTTGCGCTTGGATACTTGTCCCGCCTAGTACTGTGCGTCGGCTGCAGTTCCATGACCTCCGCAATGGCGCTAATAAAAGAGGGCATGAGAAGAAAACTAGCCGGCAAATTTGAGCTCATTTTCGCATATGTTGTACACTATACCCTGAAATTAAACATATCAAAAATCTGAACCTTGCTTGTGCACCCTACTATGATTTTCAGTGAGTCGAAGTGAGTCACTTTGGGGTCCTTAACTATAGAAATCCCCATAGGGCTAAAACTGTGTTGTGCCGCCTTAACTGTGTTTTCCGGTGTATTCCGGTAAATAGGCAGACCGCTGTTTTGGTGGCCCGGAATGTAGAAGAAATCGTAAATGGAGAGGTCTTATATACACACAAAATACACCCTGTTCAAGATGAACATATGCATACTTATTGACATGAAGTCTTTATATACAAAATAAAACCTACGAACATGTTTATTTAGGATACTGTGGGACCTAAGTTTTATGCACAGATGTTTTCTATTTGTCACATGGAGACGTATCTGTGTACGTGGCAGTGTTGTTCCCAAATACATTTATGTCCCGGCACTCCCGGGATAAAATCACGTAAATACGGTATTGAAACGGTAACGTATTGTAAAACGGACGAATAATGTAGGAAATATGATAAAACCTCGCAAAAAAGTTATTCCTGGCCGCTGTACGACGCGGAGATGTCTACACTGGCGGAGAACTAACATCGTAACTACGTACCTCAGCCATACAGCCCCCCTCCCCCCTCACCAAATCGCTAATTTTCTCGGCAAAACGTGGAGCCCTTAGATTATTTTTGGCATCAATCGCAAGCTAACACTCTATGGTACATGTAGAACATACTGTGAACCTAAGGGCTCACCGATTTCAGGGAGCCGAGGCGATTTTTTCCGACCATGTGCACCACAGAGAGTGGAGATTTTGATGTTTACGTAATCAAGATCGAGTACAAAATACCCAACTATTACGTCCCAAATCGCTATTTGTGCCCCTAAACACATATCAACGTAATCCTTATTATCTCTAAGAAGATATGGCAATGAAAACTTACCTTGACAACGGACGCAAAGCCGTAAAAATGCGTCAAACTGTGTTGGTATCAGAGCTGACAGCACAAAGTCACTTCCCGCCAGGGGAGGTGGGGACCGGAAGTCGCGAATTTGCATTCTGGGAAATCCGCGCTACAGTCTGACGCTGTGCATGATGGGACTAGATCAGCTGGATAATCAGCTGGATAGGTATCGGTAGGTATTACTAGGCAGCTTTTTATCCTGCCTGGAAAGATATAGCGTTAACTAACAGCGTTATAAGTTTGCCAAAAATGCCATACGCGACGTCGACTGTGTAGAAACCTTCTAGTGGCCGACGGTTTTCTCTAATTTAGCGCCGGATCCGGTGCACGTGCAGGGGATCGGCGTGGAGGGAGGGGGGCGGACAGAAATAATTATAAAATACTTTGCTCTTGGCCCTAAACATGAGCGTCCATAGAAACAATAGCCGACCACTAGAAGGTCAACGGAAGAGTCTAGTCCAACACACGATTTTCTAGGAGCGTTACCGTACGATGTATCTGATACTGACCGACTTATTATCGGCGGAGACTGGTTGCCAGCAAATTTATAATTTTTTGCCCCCGGGCAAAAAATCACTTTCACATTGATCATGGTCTTTTCAATTTCTTCTTAGATACTGTACAGCCCAAGAAGAATGGAAGGCTTTGGTCTGACTGATGGGGAAGGGATGGAAAGACTATGGTCTTATTTGAGGCCATTTTTCCGAGTTACCAAAGAGATGACGCCTTCCCATCGCCTAGACCTACTCACAGATGCCACGCTGCACTATGCCAGGAAGTCAACTGACATAGGTACTAAATATGTTCCAGTCTTCCACAGTTTGCATGAATAATGATTTCAATCAAATGTCGAGTCAATAATCAATTGTACACAAAATGAACAACATTCCTGCCCTATGTAAAGCAGCAAGTTATCATTTTCACTGTTTTTCAGAGTCAAGCATATGCAGTCGGTGGGATAAAGCTGAGAAAGCTTTCACACAAGCGCAAGAAGAACTGTCGCAGATCATTTCCCAAGCACCTGGTAAATATAAAGATCTTTCCTTACAATCTCCTAACTAGAAGAACCTTATGTAACTGGATTAAATAATTCTATAGCGCATGCTGCACCTTGTATTTCTATGAAAAATATTTCACATGATCTTGAAAGCAATAACGCTAGCACCTCTGTGACAATGACTGATTCACAAAACCTATTTGAACTCCATATGTGACTGTTTCTAATTACTATTTTGGCCACACAATTTGTTGGTCCTTGACCTTGGATTTAT